AAATTAAATATCTAATGATCAATGGGATTCAATAACATGTCCTTAAGCACACGAAACATTTGTAATGGATTGGCAAGTTGGTACCATTAACACCACCACGTCTCCAATATCATATGAACCACCTCATTGACTCTCAACACAAATTTTAAACTATGTGAATTACATCATTTTCTCTTATAGAAATCACTTCATTTCCTAATGTTAATTTCATCAATCCATTTTTATTTATACAACAATTCAAAAAATATATATAAATTTTATAATATTACATTATATTAATAAATCCTATCTCTCTTTTTTAATATATATACACACACACACATTAGAAAAATAAATATATTAAACCTAGCCGCTTGCCTTTTGCTATCGCTTGTCCGTTTTCTATTATTGTTGGTTGTGGTGTCATCAGTCTCGATGTTGGTCACCGACCGCTAATATTTCTTTTTTTTTCTTAATTTCTATCGTATTTTTATTTATTTTTTCTTGTTTTTTAATTTCTAATAACTATGTTTTTATGACACATTTTCTTTACTGTTTTTATATGTTTCGTATGCCTCTTGGCACGTTTCGTCTTTTTATCAACTTTTTTGGTAGAGTAAAGATTATCTGGATATATCCAAACAGTGCTCGGACACTTAAAATGCTAGTTGGACGTTGTGCTGATGCTTTGTGACCCGGACACGTCCTGAGTACTCGAGTGGAGTATACTAGCTTGGCAAGGTGTCGACGCTATGTGACTCGAACCTAGCCCAGGGTATCATAAGATGCTGATACTATGTGACCCAAATCCTACCCAAAGTACCCTTAGTAAGCAAATAAAGATATGAGTACGTCTCGAGTATTATAGTGGCATGTACTATCATAGACCCATATGTAGTGTCAAGTCGTAACTTTATTTGAATATTTTTATTTTGGAGACTATTGTTGGGAACTCCCCCATATTTTGTTAACTTACCATACTTGAAATTCTTATTTATTTTATCTTGATGAGATTTATGGATGTGTTTAAAATGTTTTTTCAAAAAAAATGGTTAGCTATTTTGGTAGTTCCGTGGGACAATCTAATCCAGCGGGTTTTCGAATCAGATTAGATTAGGGTGTTACAATAGGTGTTTACAAAGGTTTAAGCTCACAAGAATAAAAACAAAAGATATGCAATTAAGCTTTATGCACTTATGTACAAGAGAAAAAATGAAGGAAATAAGAAGGAAAACACTTTTCTCTTGATCTCTAAGCTTGGATAGGTATAGTAATCTTCTTCAAGTGTTCTTGGAGTGTTTTTATTGTATAGAATGAGTTGCTAGCTATTTATGATAATTGGGGATGAGTTATAATAGTTGGAAGCTTTAAAAAGGTGCAATGGCCACCTACACATGAAGTTTCAAATTTTTTTGGAAAGTTCTCAAACTCTTAAACGTACAGTAATTGAAAGTTTCAAAACTTTGATAAAAGTGCCGAAACTCTTACTTAAAAATAGGTAAAGTTTCAAAAATTTTATCAAAAGTTTCGAAACTCACTATTCATTAACAGTACACGTGTATGAATAGTGTCATAAACAGTGTCAAATAGTGACTGGATAGTATTTTTCATATTTTAAATGCTTTAAACACATTTTAAACACTTTAAGCTTATTTTAATTAACTCAAAAACATTTCATATATATAAAAAATTTAGAAAACATATTTTTCAAGTTATTTTGGACTTTGAATTATTTTTGAAATATTTGATTAAGTTCAATTAAGTCCAAAAATATTTTATCATTCTTTGTTATATCAAAATATAGGTTTAACAATTTTTCTCAGGATTGAATTTGACAATTTCTCGATTGATAAAGATTTCGCTTATTTATTATCTTGTCGATATACCTTTCTTTGGGCTCTTATACTAGATTTGGATATGTGATTTGCATTTGAAGATAGTTTTCTCGCAACGCTCTACTCTGATTTGTTATTGTCGTTGGTCTTTCAATAGTTTGATCTCATGTTGTGGTTCATTTTTAAATGGCATTAGATATATTCACATCTATATTTTGTTCGAGTCTTTTGGATGAGTTTTTAACATTTTTCTTGTATGATCCTTGCATGATCTTAAGCGACTAGTTTCTTGTGTCATTAGTTATAGGAAATGTCATAATTATGTGTTTAGTGAGCGCTTATAACTGTAAACATTCATTGTAATTTTAGATTTTTTATCTTTTTTTAATAAAACTAGTGGCTTCTATTTGCATAAAAATATGATATATCAAATAATTATTTGTAAATTATGTATTTGTTATTATTTACCTCTGTCTTTGTTTTTGTTTGGGTCTCTTAGATTTAAAATTTTCTAATTTTGTCATACAATTTCGATATTTCATTCATTTGTGCCACCCAATAATTAAGTGTATTTGTCTATGTTTTTATTCTGTGTCATCTAACTTATAGTCTTATGAAACAAATCTAATTTATATTAATATTTTTATTAAATAGAAAGATAAATATATTCTCAAGATAATTATCGAAGTTTGAATCCATAGGATAACATTATTCTTTAGTCACTCACAAACAATGGATCTCTTTATGTTACTTTTATTTTACTTTTTTTTTGTTAAAATTGACCCCACAAAAAATAAATTATTTGTTTTTATGGCAACAGTAACTTTTAAATATATATGTGGCAATATGATTTAGATGCATGATCTCTTGCAATTATTTGCTTTTATGAAAAATAATAAATTTTGAAATATATGGTAATATGATTTAAATACATGATTTTTTACCAATTAATATTGAAATATATTAATTTTGAAATATATGGCAAAATAATAAATTTTGAAATACATGATCTCCTGTACTTTTCATGGCCATTCTTCTTTTCTTTGCGGGTATAAATCTATTATTATTTTTATTTTTTCATTCGTTTTTAATTACTCAATCCAAATAATTTTTGGAGGAAACACATTTCATTTGTTTTACATGAAAAAAATTACATCAATTATTAAAAGAAATGATATAGTAATTTGTCACATGAAATATATTAGTTTGAAGTAAACAATAAAAAATAAGCTTAAGTTTATTATGATACCTAATAATTAATAATTATTTTTATGCAGCGTCAATGTATTACTTTAGTATGGAGATTTGTATTTCGATTTATATCAGGGTCGCGATGTTTTTAAAGTTTATAGTACTATAATTCACATGATAAAAATATTTAATAATAAGTGGGATTCAATAACATGTCCTTAAGCACGAGACATTTATAACAAGTCTCTTCATCTTTCTCATAAAAATCTCTTCATTTTTATTATTAATTTCATTTTCACTTTTACGATGATCTAGAAAATATATAAAATTTGAAATTTTATACTATATTAACGAGTCCCCTCTCTCTATATTAAAAATTTTAGAATATAATATATCAAACAATTATGTTTAAATTATGTATTTATCATTTAACTTTGTTTTGTTTTGTTCACCTAGATTTAAAATTAGAAAATTTTATTATCCAATTCTATTTTTTTTTCATTTGTGTCACCCAATAATTAACTGTATAATGTTTAAAATTTCAGATAAATTATGCACCTAAAAAAATTCATCTTAAACTTAAATTTTTAGACTCATTTGATTCATTAGTGTTATAGTATTTTCTTTTCAAATCTAAATGAAAAAAATTCAAGAAATAAACGAGAAAAAACCAATAATATATCTTAATTTCATGAAGATCATACAATGGAAATTACACATTAAACAAAGATAACATTAAATTTTAATTTATTTTTATTTTGCTCATTTAAAAAAAATCAAACTGAGAAGAAAGAGGTAGAAGAAGTGAAATAATTTGATATTACTTGCATTATAAATGATATCCTATGAAGATTAAATGATGAAAGAAGAATATCAATCATAAAAAATACGAATAAAATATGGGACAAATTTCATAAATGAAATTAGCCAAAATATAATATATTTTTTACTATCGTTACCATCAGTAACGGTTGGATAAAAAGTAAATTTTTAAAATGCGGTAAAAGGTAAGTGACTAAATATAATTTACTCGATAATCATTCTAAAGTTATTTATTTAATTTTTTGGTAAAAAGATAGCAGAGGTTATGTATTTTAAAAAATAATAATGTATTATTATTTTTCTCTCAATGTGACCATTCAATTCAGAAAACAAATTCAATGTAATCTTTTGACCAATAGTTTTCGTCATTTGACCATTCGATACTGATATTATAGCTCACAATGATGATGTGGCGGCCAACGATACTGATGTGACAGTCCATCTGCCATGTTTGAGTTACCAATTTAGTCTATCTTCCATGTTATCCGTCACATTATTAACCATCGTAGATTGCTACGTCATCATAGACCGCTATGTCAGCACCACGAACTGTCACATCAGTACCATAACGATTAGCGATGAAAAATGTTGGTCAAAGGGTCACATTAGGCTTATTGTCTGAGTTGGAGGGTCACATTAAAAGAAAAAATAATACGAGAGCCATATTAATTTTGTTAAAAGTACAAGATGCCTTTTTACCTTAATTAATTAGCCCAATAGGGCATATAGACGTTTATTTAAGAATATACGACATTTGCTACCGTGACTAAGAACTTGTCATATCGAGATGATCGGTTTCAATAAAAAATATTTTTTATTCAAACTTTTTCTCCGTTGTGATAAAATTTAATAAAAAATATATTGTATTAAAACTCATCATCTCGACGTGACGAATCTTTTGAACACTGTAACAAATGTTGTAAATCCTAAAATAAACTTATACGTGCCTTATTTTTCCCAAGTAATTTACATATTTGCCCTAATGAGCAAAAAACCTTTTTTAGTTTGTTGGGCTTTGCACAGGATGGAATGGGCTTTGAGAGTAGCCTTTAGGGTTACGTTTTTCATTATACCCAAACACTAGTATTGTTGAAGTAGACTCCAAACATGTAGCCAAACATATGGGATTTCCTCCGTTTCTAAAACCTTTCCGCCTAACAACGTAAAACCCTTTTCTTCGTTGAACTTAAGCTCAGCCCTGAAACTCTCTCTCTTCATTTCTCAAATTAAAAGTTCAATAATTAGAAAATATAATTCGATGTAAATTATTATTATTTTATTCTCACAAAATCCCAGTCTCTATGCACCGTTCTTCTCACAAGCTTTCAGGGTTAGTCCTGCTCTTTGCCCCCTCACAGGTTGTTTTTTTTTTGTGTTCTTTCGTAAGCATTGGAAGTGTTTAATCTTTTGTCTCAATGAATTTAGATGCCAATGTTACACGTTCTATTTTTGTTAACTTAAAATACCCATTTCCCCTTGTTTTCATGTTTAGTCCTGCTCTCTGCCCCCTTATTTTTGTTAGCTTAAAATACCCATTTCGTAAGCATCTAGGAGTTAATGTGGTATTTAATCATTTGAGTCTTTTGATGTCATCTTTCTCGCTTCATTTTTGTTTTGAAGAATCTGTCTTTTTGAAGTTCTGCCATGGCAAATGAGCCCAGTGCCGTTTTTATGCTTACAGAGCTTTTGATTTTTATAGGTTCTGCTTGTTTGTTTTTATTGTTTTTAAAAAATACTTCTAGCTTTTTCCTATTTGAATTCTGCTTCATGAAAAGTTGTTAAAGAACAGAATGGTAAAAAGCAAAACCACATTTTGATTAAATGACTAATGGCTTGAATGAATCCCACATTTAAGCATAATTGATATATTTTTTCTACAAATGCAGACTTTACACCTTTTTTTTTCAAATCGAGGCATATCATTGACAATATTTGTTGCTTGTGAAGTGTAATTATATTATTCATGATTGCTTACCCTAACTGATCGATCGATATTCTTGCACCGAATCATATTGAGTTAATGAATCTAATTTTTCCCTCTTTTGCAGTGAAGAGCTTGCATATTGCTTTCCCTTAATCATTCAGCAATCAATTTACAGAGGCAGGTATATCCCTAATGGTGGTTTGCTAGTAGGTAATTTGAAGGATCAGAGAACATATTCCAGCCAGAATCTATTTGAGCCAGTTAGTGAAAGGAACACCACCAGTGGTCAATTTCTCAATCAACCTTCACAAAGAAGCTCAAGTGAATCTAGTTGTTATAAGAAATTTGCACTTGCTGAAACTCATCCTATTATCCAGTCTAGTAGTCTTCAGCATTGGTTCAAAAATTGGCAAGAACAGAGAAAGCATAAATTGACGGCTAGCACATTTGCTGGGGCAGTTGGGTTTTGGCCTATTCGAAGGACCCAGCTCTGGCTAGAGAAAATTGGGGCAATTGAGCCATTTTCTGGTAACTTAGCTACGTGTTGGACCAATATCAAAGAAGAGGTAGCACTAGAAAGATATAAACTGATTACTGGGAATACAGTTGATTTTCCTGAATTTCAGGTTTACGGTAAGATGAATCCAGAATATAGTTGGTTAGCAGCTTCACCTGATGGTCTAGTGGACCAGTTTGTTTATGGTTTGTCTCTTAGAGGAGTATTGGAGATAAAATGTCCATTTTTCGGTGGAGATATGAGTAAGGCTTTCCCTTGGAGGCAGATCCCTCTCTATTGCATTCCACAAGCTCAGGGTTTAATGGAAATCATGGACCGGGATTGGATGGACTTCTATGTTTGGACTCCAAAAGGAAGCAGTCTGTTTAGGATATACCGAGATGTAGAGTATTGGGCTGCTCTCAAATTGGCACTCTCTGATTTTTGGTGGAAGCATGTTCAACCAGCCAAAGAAATATGTAGTAAACACGTGATAACAGATCCTCTTATAGAATTAAAGTCAGTAAGGCCAGCCTCCAGGCATGAATTATGTGGCTATATAGTTCATGAAAGTAAACGTATTGGTGATAACTCTAATGTGTTGATGCGTGAAATAAATGGAAAATTGACAGAATGATTTGCTTGCTGAGATATTGAATTTTGAACCAAGTCTAATTCATCAATAGCAATGCCTTCTTGAGCTTTTTAACAATTATTGAATATTTTGGTTACTATGAATTCTTTCCCCTAAAATCAAGGTTGAGGTTTTTGTTCATAATGGTTGCCAACCTGGATATACGGAGCTACTATTAGGAGCACTTCTCCCTTTAGTTGGACAAGTTTGAATGCATATAGTTGTTGAAAGAGTTCATAGGAACCTCAGTCGATAAGTGAATATTGAGAAATGAAGAAGACTATATTGCCAAATAGGGTGTTTAGAGGTTTGGAATCCATCACGCTTCTTATTGTGTGATGATGTGCTCTTTCCTTTGCAATGCTTAAAATGGTTTGGGATGGAAAAGTTTAGGTTGCTCTTTGCTGATTCTGGTTCACTTCTGCATGAAGGTTGGAGTTGGACATCAAATTCTTGTTGGCATTATTCCAATAAAGCATTGTTACATGGTTGCTGAAATTTCTTGATTAGAGATTGGCCTTGATAAATTACACTAAAACTTTAGAAAGGTTGTAATTATCCTAATCGACAAGCTTATACATGGAATTGCCTGGCTCGTATATTTGGTGATCCTCTGGCTAGACTGATTCCTTTTGTAAGAAGTTATTCTTTCTGGTTGTTGGGGACTTAATATATTTAATGTACGTCCCTTTACTTATTTCCTGTAGTATACAATTATGACACATTTAGAGAAAAAGGCTACAAATTGACCTTTAGGGAATGGTCGAAAGTTGATCCAAGCATATTCCTCCAGCCAAATGTAATACTCAAAGGGGGTTAGAGGCCTCCTTCAACGTAGATTCAAGGATATCTCAGCATAAGGTTAGCATTTCTAATCACGTATACTATATTCAGATAGGAGAAAGTGCTAAAAAACATGCTTGCTTCAGATTCAAATGAGGCTGATTTATTGTGATGTGTTTCCAAAAAGTAATTATTCAACTTTTACTAAAGTGAGTTACCTATATGGTTTCTTGTGCTATATGTTCTGCATTTATTGCATATTTAAACATGTAACTTAGAGATGCCTGCCATTAGATAATTGTTTCTTTGAGGATACCTTTGTATATGAATGCAAATTTTATCTGTTGCCAAGCTATCACCACTGTTACTTATTCGTTCAATGTCTAAACACTCCTGTCGGAATGAATGAATTTCTTACAAAAGAAGAAAGCTTAATACATATAATCATTTGAATGCGAGTTTAGTGAAGCTTGTTTGTATATGAAAAGTACAGAAAAAGGTTTGTTGAACCCTTTTATGAAATGAAATGTGATGCTTACTTTGGTTGCAGCGTAGCGACCTGGTCAGTTGCATTGCCATGGTGTTTAGTTCTTCAGTGTCTGCCTGATGTAATTCAACTGGCTTCAAGCTGTTATGGAAACTTTATAAAATCATGAATTGAGGAGCTTTATGGATTCAAGATATGAGGTATGCTTAAGACATCAAGAAGTTATACTGAAGAATTCAAGATATTATTCTACACGTTGGGGTCAATCTAACGATCTTAGTCATTTTTTAGTCCAAAAAGAGGCTCAAAACGCTAAAAAATTTCCATTTAATGGTGATTGGATTTATTACCGTCAGAGTAATATATGTGGAATTTACCATGTGGTGGCAAAAAGTTGATTGCTTTGCTGATCTTTTGAATCATTTTTAGTCATTACATGAAGGTTTGTAAGCTGATCTTTTGAATCATTTCCTCTAGTGAAGTGCCAGTCTTGACACTTTCAGATAGACTCCCATCCCACAGCATAGAGAACTTTCACATACGATTCATGATATGTTGATGACGGACTCTTTTCGAAATAGCTTGTCTATGACAGTTCATTTTCGATGTAAATTATGTAATGATACTTGATTTAGTTCATATTTCAGCAGTAGCATATAAACGAAGAAGAATTAGAATAACAAAGATACTATGCACTTCATGAATTCTTAAGAAATGAAAAAGAAAAACCACCCATCACTGTTAGAACTAAATCAAGGTGCATCATTCATCATAAATGGAACGGATAGTTAGAACCCCCAAGTTGTAGACTTTACCATACTGCCCTGGTTTGTGAGATTTAATTTCTTTTCTTTTTATAGATATTTAGTTTCAGAGATATATTATTTTTTATCTGAACATAAAATATAAATATCCTTCAAATACATAAAAGTTTTAGGAAAATAAAATACAATTTTATAAACAACCAATTGATTAGTGGATGAGACACTAGAATTCTAAGTAAGGCCAAGAGTTCAAATTATAATGTTTGTGTATGGAGCAAATCGCTCTCATAATAGATCTATGCAAATCTAGATCTGGATTCGAATATAATGATTAATTAAAAAATAGAATTTTTAGCAAAATTAGATATAGTTACGTATGTATGCTATACCAATGTTCTACACTTATTTTTAAATTCAGATAATATAGGTTCAATTTAATAATTTTAAAATTAAATTAAATTAAATAAGATTTCAATAAATTATTCAATTAAAATAAATTTATATAGGCTTAATACAAATAAAAATATACAAAATAATCATAATGAAGCTTTTTTTTTTGACATTATCATATTAAAAACCTACATTAATTATTTTTTGAAAAATAATTCTCATGTCAAATTAGTTAGAAAAATAACCTTTAAATTGTCCACATAAGATACCTCAAGTTCTGCAAAAATATGAAGTAAAACTTCACGTTTGACGAAAAATAATTTTATGTATTTATTATTATTATTTTTAATATTAAATAATTTTACTTAAAAAAATTAAAAAGTCTCGCATCTTATAAGACGTGAGGTCCATTGTTTTATAGGACACAAAATAATTTTACGTGGACTGTTTGGAGTTATTTTTCTAATTTAAAAAAATATTTAATAGGAGTTTTTAAAATAATATCGCTTTTTTTTCAAGAGAAAATGAATTTTGCCCTTTATTCCGGCTGAGTTGGCCAGCTGACTGCATATATAAATTCCAAAACCCAATAAATAATACTGAAAAAGGAAGTCTTGAATTTCAAGGGAAGCATCTGGAATGGCGACACCAGCGAAGAATATCGAGGGTTTCTACAAGCAAAAGAAGAGCAACACTTCCAAATCAAAATCAACCAAACATGCCGCCGCTACCTCCAGTTCCAGTATAGCCCAACCGCCGGCCCTCGTTTCCCAGGGCGGTTCTCTCGATCTCAAAGGTCACTCTCCTTTTCCTTTCTCCACCTTAGAAATGGGTATCCATTTATAAAACTTATTTTTTTTGGGGGGGGGGGGGGAGTGTTAAAAGCAGATGATTTCGACGAGGAGGAGCAAGTGCTGAGGCAATTTGATATGAACATGGCGTTCGGACCATGCATTGGGATACCGAGGCTTGATCGCTGGGAAAGAGCTCAAGCAATGGGTCTGAACCCTCCCAAGGAGATTGAAAGCATTCTCAAACGTTGTAAAGTGAAGCCACAATCTTTATTTGATGGTCGCATTTAGTGGGTATTTTAGTTCAGATGATGAAATCATTGTACATGTTCTGGATTTTCTCCTTGAACGTTGTCATGAAACTGTGGAGATTAGCTGCTCTTAAATGGACAGATTACAACTCTCCAAACTCTTCTTTAGTTTCCTTCTAAAGAACATAGGGAAGTAATCAAGAGGGGGAAATTGCAAAACAAGATTCTAAAGTAATTGGGCTCAATATCAAAGCCCCATATTATTTGACATATCTGGAATTCGGTGACTAAACCAAACACATGACAAAGCATCATCAATCAATGACAAAATTTAAGCTCAAAAGTGTTGTAAATTGAGAGGAAAAAAAATACAAGGTGGTATGATGCTATGGTCACTGAAGCAAGTGTTTCTCAACAACCGCTCTCCCAAACTTCTCCTGCATGTCTTTTGGTGTTTCAACCTACACAAACAATAATGCAATTACTTGTGTTATTCAGGCTGTCCCAAAAGCAACTTGTTTCGAAACCCTATTCCAGTTATATGGGTGGCCGAGTTACTTACTGCATTGAGGGCTTTAAAAACAGACTTGACGGTGTTGTGAGGATTCCTTGAGCCAATAACCTGAGAAGATAGTTCAGATGAGAGCCTATAAAAAGTTGAATTCTAAAAACCGTTGTAAGGAACCCCAAGAATCTTCAAATGAATGAAGAATCCAATATACATCCGAGTCCGAGTACATGGAAGCGATATCGCTTGATTACCTTTGATTTGATATTGTTAAAGCCAGCTAAAAGTAAAATGTTTTCAACAGTTCTTCCAGATCTCATACCCGATGCAGTTGGTGCAGGCCAGAGATAGACCTACCAAAAGCATAAATAGTTTAAAGTAGAATGAATGCAGAGAAACTGGAGCATCAACAAACGTGAACAATAAACTCAACTGTAAAAACCAAGATTGAGATTAAAATGGTTATAAAAATGGGAGTTATGTGCACCTTAGTCTTCTTATATGATGCTTGAATTGCATGGGCTATCGTGTGCTCCTCGTGTCGTTCAATATAGTGGAGATTCTGAAAGCATTTCTCATGTGCCTGTTGTAGGTTACATGAGTCGGTACATATCACGTAAATTCATCAAGCAATTGACAATAATAAATGATAAGTGATATAGAAGAACATGGTCATGGTAGACAACATTGATGATATTATACACCTTTCAAATTAAATTGATTTCAATACTGCATCCCAGAAATCATAGCATCATGGTAAGAAAGAAATCATATAAAAACCAATCATAACTAAAGCTGAAACTTATTACGATTACCGGGACGTAAAACAAGTCTGTCTGAATAGACCAGATTTACCAGTCTACTAATAGAAGATAAAGAATTGATTCACCTATTGATCATATGGTGCAGAATTAAATAACAGTAAAAATAAAAGCAGTGGAAAGTTACCCTTTGGACTGCAATAGGGACTGCGTCAGCTTTGGCTTTTGCATATCCAACAACACCATGATAGTTTCCACACACCATCAAAACGGTGTACTTGACCACTTGACCTCCCTGAACAACATCAACTTCAAATGAGTTGCATAGAAATCAATCTAACAACAAAACTCAATCAAATTGCATTATATTACCTTTGTTACTTTACAAGTTCGATTTATATCTATCAACCTCAAATCAAAACCCTGTCGTCATTCAACAAAAACAGAGTTAGTTACATGCAACATGAAATTGCTTGAGAAACACAAAGTTGATACTTGAAATGAAACAATGCAAATCATCACATGATTCGGTTAAGGTCGAACAGAGAATCAATATACATAACTGTAAATAGCTCACTAACAACCCTTACAAAATTGAATTGATGCAAATCAACCTAAAATAATTTGTACTTCTGCCAGAACCCATAAAAGTTTATTTTGCCAATCCAAATAAATGAAAATTATATTTCTACAAGTGAGGGCCAGATAATCTGCTCATGAAAAGCATTAATATAAATAAAAAATATTTAAGAAAATGTAAGAATAATATTAGCTTAGAATTCCGCCCCTTAACCATTTCAAAAATAACTTAACTGTTTGAACTTTGAATAAAAAAAAATGAAGGCCTTGTATACACTTACCTTTCTGTAAAGAGGTCTTCTTTTCTTCTCTGTCAAAGAATTTCTTTCCTCCGCAAGGTTTCTGATTTCCTCCTCCAGAAGCTTACCCTTCCTGCCAAATGTATAATCCAACTCTGCCAGCTTCTCTTCCAGTTTCTTGTCAATAGCATTGAGCTTCTCCAATAGTATATTATCTTTCTCTTTCATGTCATCAAACTCTTCTTCATCCTCATCCTCATCATCTTTTCTTACTATTTTCTTCTGAATCTCCTCTTCAGCTTCTTCCTCATGATCAACAGGAGAACCAACTTGTTGATTGGTCGTAACTTTATAATTGGCAGGATTATTGGGATCATAGCGTTCCCTCCATTGAAGGAGCCTCACCGCCCTATTCAATTTTTGCTGAAGGATAAATTTCTCCTTGCCTTCTGCAACCTTGAGTAGATTCATCAAGTCGCCAATGACCCTATATTCAGGGCTAAGTTTAAAATGCCTTTCCTCAAACTTGTCAATTTTATCCATCCATTTAAAAGCATCATCAAGTGTCACTGTCAAGTGCAACAATGTAATTTGTCAACAATCAATGAATTTTATAAATATCACTTATAAACAAAAAAAATATGCAGTAAATGGTGTTATTATATTCATATCACTAAGCAACAATAAGGCATCGTCATTTTAGAATTTACAAAATCCACTGAGTTTATTTCATCCGCTGAATTTATGTACTTGAATTTATTAGATTTGTTTGACCATGGTTGTAACCTCCTTTCTTACTAAGGTAAATCATTCGTCATGTTCTTTTCAAAGAAATCAAACTACAAATCTCAACTCTAACAAGCCATAACTGTAACGGTTAATAGTTTTTTTTTTAACATGGGAACATTTGTAACTGCATTAAACCTAGCGATTCATGTATAAACCTAGTGTGTATGTAATAAGCATTCTACAAGAAGTGCACCCACATACATTCTATAATATCATTAGTACTCAGTATATAAGCAACGAAACAACTAAAACAAGGCTTGTTCATTTACCTGCCTCACAGAAGTTCTTTAGCAACTGCTCGTGCATCTTTTTTTTCCTCTCAAACTGCTTTTCCTGCTTCACGTAGTCCTCCTCATCCTCACTTTCGGAATCTGAATCCGAGGACCATTCAAATTTTTTGCGAATTTTTTTAGTCGTCTCCTTTTCCTTTAAATGCTTCTTTTCAAGCTTCTCTATCAACGGCGTTACACCCATATAATCTTCTTTATCCTCTTCATCAATATCCTTTGTGTCCAAACCTTTTCTCTTCCTATCCTCTCTTTCTTGCTGCTTCTCCCGCTCCATTTCATCATATACATCAGCCAAAAAATCATCATCCTCGCCAGGCTCGTCGGACCTGAAGCCTCTACAGAAATGCATCTCGTGAAAGAAAGTGGAGATTTCGGAGTTTGGTCGTTGTGGAAATAGGAAAAAGCGGATATATTTCGACAAAACGAGAAATGGGGTTTAATGGGGGTTTTAGGAATATGAGTCGAGAATGGGTGTTTGGCAAAATATTGGTACAGATTTTCCGAGAAAATGAAGGCGGAGCTCTAGGTGGATTTTGAAAGGAGCGGCTGAGAAGCCTAAGCCATGAAGAAGGCTGCGATTTAGTTGACATTTCTCTTTTCTAATAGCTTAAAAAATGAGAAACATAGAACAAACCTGGAAAAATATTTTAAAAAAATGTAGACACACAATATGAGCTAAAATGTTAACAGATAGTTTTCAAAAAGAAATCGACGAGACAGAGAAGCAAGCAGAAAAATGAAATAAAACAGAGTGAAGCAGAGAAGGGAAACCCAGCCACGATTCAAAATCTCATCACTGAATCAAGTAAAGATTAGGGTTTCGAACCTCAAATTAATTTACTTGGTATGGGATAGAATAGGAAGTAGACCAGAGTGGTGGTGCAAGGCCTTTGTGGCGGCGCTGTATGTATCAGAATAGCTTCGGAACTTCTAAAGGAAAATTTAGGGGAAAATAATATTATTTTATTTGGAATATATTTTGCGTAAATTACCTCCATAATCACTAAATTTGGTATATATTTTTTAGAATATATTTTTTAATAAACAACCTCCATAGTCACTAAACTTGATATATAATTTTATTTTTTTTATTTTTTTTAGAAAACCGTTAGTTTTATTAAAAATAGAAAATATTTAAAATTACATGAAGATTTACGAGCATAACCGTAAACATAAACTAAATTATAATTAGAACATTTTCCTATAATCATTAACACAAAAACTAACCACCTAAATCATACAAGGACTATAAAAGGAAAATGTTAAAAAACCTAACCAATGCTCGAATAAAATAAAGATACAAAAAAATTGACTTCATCGGTAAATAAACCACAAAAGAGGATGAAAGTACTAAAAGATCACCGACAAATCATAAATCAAAGTCAAGCGATGTGAGAAAACTATCCACGAGCGCAAAATGTGTATCCAAATCAATCAGAGAGTCCAAAACAGGGAGGATCACCAGGATAACAAATAAACGTCATCTTAATCAGTCGTGACGATATCAAATCCAATCCTGTGAAAAAAGATAAACAAAAAAAAGATAAAAAAAATCATAAGCTACCAAAAGGCATTTGAAAACGTGCAACAAATACAGAGATAAATGTGTCATAAAGACATAAAATATGTCACAAAGACATAATTATTCTTATTAAAAAACTAAAAAAACAAATAAAAAAGATAACCGACGGGCGGTAATCATAATAAAACCAGTGTCATCGCTGGTTAAACAAAATTAAAAAAAAAGTTGGATTGATTAATAAAATTAACCCAAGTTGTATAGAAAGAAAAAGAAAAAAGAGGATAGAAAGGAGGAAGAATCTGATTTGGACATAGATGATTTACGATTTTAAAATTCTTTCCCCATAAACATCATTATGAAGAAACTCGATAATATATAATTTTATTTTAAATGTATTTTAAGATAAACTACCTTTATAATCACTAAATTTGATATATAAACTTTATTTTAATTACTTTTTTTGAGTTTCAATAAAATCATAATCATTAATTGTTAATAGAATTTCTGACATGACAATTCAATAATTTATATAGTAGCGCATTTAATCTTTATTATTCATGTATTCTATTAATTTAATTTTAATTGAAAATAATTTAGTCGTCTATCAAAATAGAATGAGGAGTTAGTCCTAGATTTGACCCTCCAATGAGATCCAGAGGAATCAAACCTGGTGGACACAACACTTAACCAAATTAAATATTCATTTTATGTTTGAAAACAAATGTATTTATCTCGTGCATGTCACGAAGAATTCTATAATGATCAGAGGATCTAAAATTCAACTAATTTTTACATATTTTCATATTTGTTTAATTCAACCATCACAGTCCATGTCCAACATACACGAATCATGTATATAAATAAGTACACTTTCAATCATTAAATATATGTTAATAACGAATCATAAAATATATAATAAATACGGAACATGCATGCATGCATGTACGTTTCATATACCAGTCATAACATAAACATCGTGTTGAGGCAGCTTCATTGGACATCTCAGTAACCCTGTAGATTGGCAAAATGGGAATAGCACGCAATTTGATTGGAGGCAAGCAGAAACAGCCGCTATAAATTCCCATATTTATGAGAAGCACAACTAATGAGCATGGTCTGCATGAACATTTGCTTATACTTGGCTCACTAATTAAGTGAACTATCTGAGTACATATTTCTTGCCAAACACCCACCCAATACATAATCCCACGGCGTAAAAACTCGAGTTCGGTTCCAACATTATGCAATCCTTCCGTAGTCCTTTCTTCCACGAGAACCTGGTGGAATATTTGAGACGGGATGGCTGGCCCTATGACCTACATTAACAATGCCGGGGTTGAGTAAAACGGAAACACTTCATTCTGTCCCCCAAGTTATCCAACAATAATTATATAGTTCCGTGATCTCAGAAAAAAAATTATATAGATATAGTTCCGACACGGGTAGGTCTATGAAGTACGAGGTAACTAAAACTAATTTGATGTTGTAAAGCTAGGAAGTACCCCATGGCATGCCATTACTGAATGTAGGAGATTGTTGGCCCCCAGAATTAAAGCTAAGAGGGACCTGGACTTTCATGTGATTCCATTTGCTACCCCGAGCACCAGTGGATCTGCCGTTATTGAACTGCTGAATAGTTTGCTTCCCCAAACGGCTAGGCAAATTTTGTGTCATATGTGGGATGAAGTGAGAATGCTTCGACAAATAACGACAATATCCAGCATGAAAATCATTAACTGAAGGAGAGCTACCCACTTCTACATGCGAAAATCCTACAGGTCCATTTTGTCTGTGTACTCGAACAAAATAGAAATAAGTTGAGAACGGTGTTGAACACTTCAACAAAAGACAATAACTCTCGTCTTGTTAGTCTGAGATATCTGACATTATAGTGCATATTCATCTCTATAATGCACAACTCATCTTGGGCAGAGTCAATCACGTGGACCATAAATGCAAACTATAAACTTCACTAAGGAAAATAAAAGGCATGCATATAAGCAAATACCAAAGTCATTTGAAAGGCAAATGAAAAATAAGAAGGTTATGCAATTACCTTTGAATTGATAAATTTAAGCTTGAGGTTGAGGGACGGTTGAATCTTCCAACTCCAACGGAGGAATCAGCTGAACCAATATGCATTCCTCTGTTAAAGTCAGCTGATAAGTAGCTCTCTTCTGATCCATCCTCTTGTAGAAGTAGTTTATCACTAGGGTGAAAACAAATAGAAGAAATATTGTAAGTCACAAGTTCATAGAATAAAAATCACTGCAAAAAGTTAATGGAGAAACACCTAAACAACATAGTTTAGAAGCACCTAAACAACATAGTTTCTTTCTAAGTTGAACTTGACCTAAACAACATAGTTTCTTTCTAAGTTGAGCTTGACCTAGGTATAGGCACTTTCTAATGAGACAACTCTTTTTCGGAAGCAGCAAGATGCCAAATGTTGCAACTTGAGCTGATTTTAGGAATATCATGAATTCCTGATACAGAGCACAATAATTGTGGGATAACAACCAATATAGCATAACTGATAAAAAAATCCATGGATGTGTTCTAGGCTAACCAAACAATCAAATATTGAGCCAATAGCCCATTCTTTTGTGAAAATAGAGTCCTTGATGAGTAGTTTGAACATAAAACAAAGAATCCAAAAGTATGACATCCTATGATAAGCTGTGAAACTATTTGGAAGAACCGCTTATGCAGCACAATAAAATAAGGGGGGAAATTGGTATGCTACGAAGAACACAAAAGGATAAAAAAAGACTGCAATAATTCACAGAAAAAATCAGTATACTAAAGAATATTTCCATCCTTCAGGCAGTGTGCATCAGAGGCCTGAGAAGGCACCTGCAAGCTGCAGGGCCCACATGCTGGACACCCAACTAACATTCGAGAGGGTAAAGAAGAGTAAATACCATATTAACATGGTTGACTGCATGTCCGACTGAAATTTTTATATATTAACAGAAATGAATAACACATATAACACAGCTAAGACAAAAGTATATATCAATATTTGATAAACGTGAGTTTAGACCCCTTTTCAAGTTCCCTACTTGCCTATAATTTGGATCCCAATCTCCAGGATCAAGCAATGGCATGCTAGCCTCTGACATGTCTTGAGTTGCTCCTGTGCTATGCTGCAGTCGCACATTAAAACCAAGTCCTCTGGAGTTGGGTATATTCTGAACAGTTGGGTAGCCTGTAACCATTCCAATGCCAACTAGCTGTTGGTTCCAATTTGATGAGTTAGAATTTGACTGTATGTGAGAGGGGAGACCAACCACATTAGACTGCCCCTCAGCTTGGCTAGAAATGGTGCCATCAGTTACTTGTCCTTGGCAATTTGAAGATGATGAACTCTCTTGTGATTGGGAACTTCCGGAATATCCCCAACTTTTTCTTCGATTAAACTGGCCAGCTGTAGCCATCTTACTTAAAGGTGATCCCTGAAAACTGTTTCTAGCAAGAGAAGTAGGACCATAACGCCCAGGAGAACCACTGAAAACTTGATTGTAAGAGCTTGGAGGAGTAAATTGCGAGGGACTAGTGCCAAGAGGAAGTGGTGCGAAGTTTCCAGCTAATGGACTCACACCAAGTCCTGCCCCCTGAGAGTACTGCATATATCTCCATCTAGCATCAGGACTACTTCCAAGCATTGATGTCGCGCTCTGCGGATGCATGTTCATTGCAGACGGACCAACAGGTGAATAATATGCAATCATATTATTACTATCTCCATAACTACCGTAGCTGCTTCCAAGCCCTGTATTATCACTATAGCTGCCATGACTTCCAATACTGCCATAGCTATTTGCATGACCATACGGAACCATTTGGAAATGTGGGCTGTTATGAAAGGGAACCATGTTCCTGTTTTCAATCTATAAGATTGAAAATAAACACCAGCATAAGACTACAATTAAAATAATGCAGAAAGTCAACTACCATAGAAATAAAAATGCTGGACTATTAGGAAACTCACATTAGGGGAAAGACCAGCTGCAAACCAATGCCCTCCACCAGGGTGATGATCCACCTTGATGTTTTGAGCAACAGGCTACCAAGAAAAAGGCAGACATTAGGCAATTATTGCTTCCTCTTCTCGTTTCTCCCCTTAAATAACAGATATGTATATATTTTTGAAAAGCTTGTTATTCACAAGAACAGATTGCTACGATTATATAAAAGCTTAACCATGAGAAGACTAATAAAGCCCAATCTTTCACACTGGCCAAAGAATTTTTATGCTCACGTACACAAAAAGGACATTGAAATGATTGCTAAGATTTGTTCAAACAAGTACAAAATTCTATCTCAAATTATTTTCGACAATCTTAAACTTTTTATAAAGGAAAAAAAACTCCATGAATATAAAATAAGATTATACCAATACCACTGTTCAGAAAAATACATACGGTAACCAAGAGAGGGATATGCAATTCCTCTGTATGCTTGGTACCAAGAATTGAAATAAAAGCTACATGGTTAATTTAATTTATGAAATAAGGTTCAGTATTCTTTAATTGCAGAGTTACACACATAGGTCCCATACCAAGCGAGGGGTCTCAGGGGGAGGTCTGTATGGGCATGTGAAAGGTTCCCCAGTAACAAAAGGGTGTTTTGAAGCCTGCAAGATGAACTAGAAACACTTACTATTGCTTCATATTTAGTTGGAATTGCTAAAGGAGTATTAAAGTGAAACTTCAGTTACCTGGAAAGGTGACCACCGTTTTGCTGGATCAAACTCAACTAGTCCCCTCAGGAAATCAATCAAAGCTAATCGTATTTGACCCTCTGTTATAGATTCATTACACAACAGCCGTGTTAAGTTCTTAACAGATAGAACATAAGTCGGACATTCAATGTAGAAGTCAGACGCATACCATACCTTTAATGATATCTTCTTCAGGCAAGTTTTTCCGGTAAGGATAATTTGTAACGATTGCTTCAAGGTTCTTATGACTGAAATATTCTTTCCCCACCAACGGTTTTTTTAACTTCCTCTGAACAGAAACAAGCAAAAATGATAATTGACAATAGATATTAGAACATAAAAATTAACAAAAAACCTGTCAGAAATTTCTATTATTTCACTACTTGTCATACAGTTGTCTTCAGAATGGAATATATGAACACTTACAGCTTCATATTCTTCTTCTGTTAATGCTTGGTAAGCACTTCTGCCACCAACTTCACCGTTCTCTATATTGTGTATGCTCCCAACGCACTTAAAAAACTTACTCGTGTTCTTTGCCTCCTTTAGAACATAATCAGGGGGTTGCAATCTACAACAAGAAATCATACACATGAAAGGTTGTTCACAACAATTCAAAACACAATCAAATGTGTATAAGTGCTAAAAAAAATTATTTTCGTTTATAGATATCCAATAAAAACCAAGTTTATTTGGGAAAAAGAGAAATAAGTTCGAAACAAGGGTTTATATGAAAACATTAAGAAAATGATATGTGGCATATACTTATATTTAATGCATGAAATTAGCTGACTGACTAAGAAACAACAACTAATCAAACATAACACAATGAAAAATCAAGTAGGAAGGATTCTAAAATTCTAAAGATGCAAAACACGTTATCATGAAAAATTCTAGACTTCCATGACCCACGATAGATGGCTCCAATCATTGCAAAACTTATAGTGTAACTTTAGTACACAGAGTATACCAGGTTACTTCTATTTACTTGTTTTAATGCATGTGTGTATAACTGGTTTCAATTTTCATATATACATAAATAAGGCATTATAATACGTTAAATGAGCTGAAATTTCAATGTGAACCAAAGGATATAATGAACAAATTTAGGAAGAAGAAAAGTCTCTTATTTCTTCGAATGGGAGTACACCCTTTTTAACATAGCAGAAAAAAAAAAAAGGAAATAATCTCTAATATTTACAAGGAAATAATCTCTAATAATAAGCCTATCCCTAAAAATCAGTAATTAGATTATGACTAATATTTACAAGGAAATTCCTAGAACTAAGGTAGAGAATCTCCTTAATTTAAGGATTTCCAACACTCCCCCTCAAGCTGGAGTGTAGATGTCAATCGAACCTAGCTTGCCCATAATTTCTTCGAACCTTTTTCTACTCAAGCTCTTGGTTAACACATCTACTACTTGTTGTCGAGTAGGTAGATATGAAACACAAACTTCCCCTTTGTTAATTTTCTCTGTAATGAAGTGGCGATCGATTTCCACATGCTTGGTGCGGTCATAGTGTACATGGTTGTGAGCTATATTAACTGCTGCCTGGTTGTCACAGTTCAGTATTATAGGTGTTGTATGATAATTTTAGTTCTTCTATTAGTCGTTGTAGCCACATTCCTTCACATATACCTTGGGACAGAGCTCGATACCCAGCTTCAGCACTGCTGCGTGCCACAACCGACTGCTTTTTACTCCTCCATGTCACGAGATTACCCCAAACATAGCTACAATAACCACTTGTGGAGCGCCTGTCATTAATAGCACCTGCCCAGTCTGCATCAGTATAGACTTCTATGCTTCGATTTACATTTTTCTTGAAATGCAACCCCTTACCCGGAGTCCCTTTTAAATATCTCAATATCCTGTAGGCAGCTTCCAAATGTTTCTCCCTAGGAGCATGCATAAATTGACTAATAACACTTACTCCAAACGCTATGTCTGGAGTATGAGAAAGATAGATAAGTTTTCCCACTAACCTTTGATATCTCCCCCTGTCTACCTCTTCTCCATCCTTATCAGTTCCTAATTTAAAGTTGGGTTCCATGAGAGCCTCGGTGAAGGATATAGTTTCGCTTTTGATTGGAAAGGATATTATATTTAGGCATATTTCAAGGGCGGCAAACTAGGAAGCTGACAAACTTGCTAAAGTTGGGATAGGGTGATTTTTGGTTATTGTTGTGTTGTTTAACAGGAATTGTACCTCCCTGTTTGTTGGTTGTTTTGTGTTAAGTTTTATGTTCTTCTGTTGGAAGTGTAGGAGTTTGTTCAATCTTGTAATCTGGTTCTTGTGAATAAAAGTTTTCTTGGCTCTCTTTTCCTCCTTCCTTGTTCCTTCATGTTACTCTCATAACATGGAGGGATTGAAGGAGGATTTTAATGAGGCCTCTTCCTATCAAAAAAAAAAAGATGGAAGGCGAAGGAGGTGAGACTTCTTCATCAGGACAGTCCTCGGGTAAAGATGGCATTGGCACTGCTGTTTCAGTTTCTGGCAGCTGATGTTTCCGAGAATATACACGAAGCTGCTGAGTTTTTCTTGTTGTTTTTCAGAAGGAGGGATTGTTTTTCTTCATTTGTATGATTAATTGCCCTTGTTTCTTGTTGCTGCACAGTGGAGTCGAATAAAACGGGATCCAAATCAGGAATTACAATGGTTGTAGGAATTTCAGCAGTGGCTGTAGGATTTTCAGTAGTGGCTGTAGGATTTTTAGCAGGTTTTGTAGTGGTGGTAGGATTGATAGAGTCTTGAGGTATAATGAGAAGGTTGTTCAATGTCTCATCTTCACTAAATATCTCCCCCTGAAGATGAGAGGCTGAAAAATATGGCTCGTTTTTGAAGAATGTAACATCAAGGGACACAAACATCCGGTGTAGGGTTGGAGAATAACACTTGTACCCCTTTTATGTAGGTGATTATCCAAGAAAGACAGAAGTGTGAGCTCTAGGATCAAGTTTAGATCAGTTAGGTTGATGATTGTGGACAAATGTTTTGCAACCGAAAGTTTTGGTTAGGAGATTAGGAACACGAAACAAGGGAAATATTTTTTTGAAGAGTATGTAAAGGTGTAATACCTTTGATGGGAGTCGGTTTATAAGATAACAAGCAGTGAGAACAGCTTCTCCCCATAAATACTTCGGTACACCCATAGTAAACATAAGAGCGCGAGCCACGGCTAAAAGATGTCTGTTTTTCCTCTCGAAAACCCCGTTTTGTTGAGGGGTGTCAGGACAAGAACTCTGATGTATGATTCCTTGCTCAGAAAGATAAGGGCTTAGGATAGAATTGAAGTACTCTCTCCCATTATCAGTTCTAAGGGTATGAATTTTGGAATTGAACTGAGTTTGAATCATTGAATGAAAACTTTGGAAGACTCTAGAGACTTCGGTTTTTTCTTTGAGAAGATAGATCCTACAAACTCTAGTGTGGTCATCAATGAATGTTATGAACCACCTAACCCCTGTGACAATTTTTACTCGACTGGCTCCCCATAGATCACTGTGGATTAAAGAGAAAGGTTGAGATTGAACATAAGGTTTCGAAGGATAAGGGACGCGAGTATGTTTAGACAGTTGGCAAACTTCACAATTCAAGGAACTTATTTTCTTATTTAGAAATAGTAGATGAAACAGTTTTTTCAAGTACGTAAAATTAGGGTGTCCTAGTCTACGGTGCCATAACATGATAGATTCTTCTTTCGATGTAGATAAGACCATCCCTTCTTGTGAATTGTTTTTATTCCAAATATATAAGCCATTATCAACTTTAGAAGTGCCAATCATCTTCCCTGATTCATGTTTTCCTGAACCACACAACCGAAAGCAGAAAATTCAACAAGTACTTTCTCATCCTTGGTAACTTGCTAATTGAGAGTAAATTACAAGAAAGATTTGGAACATATAAAACTTTATCAATGGAAAAATTTTCAGTAAGTCTGATCGTTCCAATTCCAGCCACCGGGGAGTAAGATCCATCAACTATGCGAATCCGGGCAGTACCTTGAATAGCTAGTGATCCAATGGTTGTAGGAGTCCCGAGGAGTTTATGAAGAGCCTCAAGTTGAGTTTTGGTGAGCCGAACATTCTAGGCATCTTCTTCAGTAGTAGATATCATTGTTGCCTTGTTTTCTTTCTGATTTTTTTCAGGATAACCATGGAGTTTAAAGCATTTCTCCTTGGTATGTCCAACCCGGTTACAGTGGCTACACCATGGCCTATTTGAACCGGAATTAGAGAGGGTTTCATTGATATCACCATGAGAGAAGAAAAAAAGGAAAAAAATATTTAGGAAGAGAGATGAGAGACAAATGAGTAGGATCGAATAAATCCTATGGCTCTCGATACCATGAACAAATTTAGGAAGAAGAAAAGTCTCTTATTTCTTCGAATAGGAGTACACCCTTTTTAACATAGCAGAAAAAAATAAAAAAGGAAATAATCTCTAATATTTACAAGGAAATAATCTCTAATAATAAGCATATCCCTAAAAATCAGTAATTAGATTATGACTAATATTTACAAGGAAATTCCTAGAACTAAGGTAGAGAATCTCCTTAATTTAAGGATTTCCAACATATAATGTGTTCACAGTGGTCCTAATATTTACAAGGAAATTCCTAGAACTAAGGTAGAGAATCTCCTTAATTTAAGGATTTCCAACATATAATGTGGTGTTCACAGGTGGTCAATCTTGGGCCAAGGAAAGGGGCACACGAAGAAGACAATCCAAAAGCTCAAAGGCAGACACATAATTCTAGAACATCCTTCAGAGGTTCTCAGGACAAGACACTGAATTCAATTATTCACATTAATCAAGAGTTAAATACCCTATACCATAACATTAACGCATACCATGTAAGGCACATATATCTCCCTAATAACTATTCATGCCTATCAAGCAAATTTAGGAGAGGATTGATCTTAGAGGATCTGACTTGTCATAATGATACCTTTAGGTGGAATAGCAGAAACCAAAGAGATGGATAGAGAAGCTTAAGCTCTCAATATGTGATGTTAAAAAATATATGTTACTTAGAAAAAAAAAATTGTTTCTCTTTTCTTGAACATTCTAGTTTATCATAAGAGCCGTTTGACTTTGGAAATCCATAAACTCGTGAAAGTATTAGACATACATTGCATTGAATGATGGAATTTCTAAGATTAACAAAAAAGCTAAGAGATAGAGGGAACGAAATTTGGTAATCACACATGCTTATTGATGATAAGTGACTACTTAAACAACTTTTTCACATTTGGACCATTATTCAGTCATCTCTTGTACGAAATCAACCAAAGAAAAGCTACTCCAAAATAATCTCAAGAAAATGATGCCTAGAAATACACAGAAAATGTTTGTCCTGTCAAAAGCAAGAGCCTTACCCAAGTATTTTAATCATTCGCCTTAGAAGATCAAATTCTGAAGCACCTGGGAATAAAGGCAGCCCTAAAAACAGTTCGGCGACTATGCAGCCAAAGGACCACATGTCAATGGCTGTTGTATATCTGAAAAATGATCAAGGTTCAAACTTAAACGAACAACATGGCCATATACACAATAATCAGAATTGACTTCTCTAATCATAAAAGATAATAATGAACCACAAACCAGTGAACATAATTTTGAAAACTTCTTTTTTAATTACTACCAAATAACAGAACATGTCAAACATACAAATCCACATGACAGAGCATTACCCCAAAAGAGATCATATAGAAATATGATGATCTTAGTTATATTGCAGATAAACAAATAATTTAGCATACCAATTTAGATAGACTTTCAAATGTTTTACCATATTAATTGTTACTTTCCAGGCATTAGACTTAACTACCTCTGCTCTGTTATATAACCATTATATACCCTACCCTTATTTCTTTCCTTTCCTGTTCATCTATGGTTGCACGTAGTAAATAAAATATCTGAATGAGTAAAATAAGGATGAAAGCATGTCAAGCCAAAAGCAATATTTGAACAATCTAGTCAAGGTTAAACAAAACATTAAATGCTTAACTCAAGCATCAAACAAGTCAAATCTAATGGAGTAGGAAGAGTTCAATAGGGTTTCTGAAACCGGTATAAGAAAACTTTAATGTTATACCGTATCAAACAGCAATTATACATACTTTGAATTATGTTAGAAGACAAATAAAAAGGGATCAAAGAAGGTCGGCAATAATAAAATATTATTCAAAATGGAGTACAAAACACGATAAATTAAAGCGATAGCGGTGATATCAACCAGGAACCATCGTGACAAATCCACACCATATAGAGGTCAGGTTTCAGGATTATGGACTTCAGGTGATGGTTCATAGGTTGGATTCAGTATTTATACATGATAACAACTTATGAGGTTCAATCTAGACCCGAGGATTGGTTAGGTCAAATAAAATTCGGTTGAAGTTTATTCATCAAAGTTCCATTTAGAAAGACATTGAACATGAGAAGAGATTCTACAAGGAAGGAAAAACACCATGATACAGCAAAAGACAAAAGCAGTAAGCAAAATCAATAGATAGAAAATAATAAGGCCAAATTCATGCTAAAAGGATACTGGTATCCAAGAAGAACTTCAGGAGATCTATAATATCGGCTCTGCAGGGGGAAAAAAAGGAAGTACAGCTGTAACAGGTTAAGAATGAACAGCATGAAAGTAGTAGCTACAGGTGGAAACCTGAACGTAGGAATAAACAGTCCGTTCTTCCATGCAAGCTGATCCGAAATCAATTATTTTAATTTCAGTTGGCTCGACACTGTTATTTCCAGGGCAGAAATATCAAACATCATTGAAAAATAAAATATATTACAAGTTCCTAGTCTGGAATAATCTTGAAAAAGAAACTCACCTTGTGCATAAAAGAATATTTTCTGGCTTAAGATCACAATGAATTATTCCAGCATCTTTTAATAAAGCCAGTCCACGTAGAATCTAAATAAAATCAAAAGGTTAGGAAAAGCTCAAAAGACAACTGGAAGCAGATGTTTACAGCTAGTCCGATCGTTATTCAACTCGAGCCAAATTCAGCTATAAGCAAACTGCAAACACCTGTTTTGAAAACAGCCGAACAATGCTCAATGGCAAACCCCTGAAATGTTTTATCTTGATGAGTTCATACCTAGATAAGGGAGGAAATGTCAATAAAATGCTGCAAAACCTATAAGAAAAATATAGCTAATGATTAAAGGAAATTCACAAAAGACGAATCTTCTTTCATTGAAATACAACTAAATTACTCACAGATTTGCATCAAGAAGTTCAAAACAAATGCACAAATGACGTTGATACACGAAGTAATCATAAACGCGGACAATGTGATGCTTGTCTTCTGGATCATACTTTTTGTTTAGCTGCAAAAAGTAAACAACTAAGCAAACAAAATGGTGTTTCACAACCCGTATTTTTAAAGAAGGATATATACAGCGGTAAGAAAATCACCGTTGTCAAAATAGAAACTTCAACCAATGCCTGCTGATGGTAAGCAGGTTTGTTTTTAATTATCTTCACAGCAATAAAACTGCTTGTTTCAGGAACCCAGCATTTAGCAACCTGCCCGAAAGTCCCATGACCAAGAACATCTTTGACAATATATCTACATAAAATCATTAAAAACATTAGTAAAAGCTTCCTTCAACAAGCTTAGCTTAAGTGAGAATAGACAACCAGAAATGGTTTTTAAGCTACATTGAAGTATCCATGAAGCTGCCAAAAGCCAGATCCATGAAGTTGGTCCATTTTAGTTTGGGATCCACTAACTACCACCAACAGAACAATGGAAGATTTAACAAAAGAAATAGAACAACTATCTTTATTCACCAAGGAAATCTAAAATGCACATGTCAGGTCAATTCACAGAGAAATTACAAGAAATGCTTAAAAAATATAGTTCATATTGTCCAGAAAAATCATAAAAAGTAGTAACAAACCTTCTCTGTGTTTCTAAATTGATCAAGACAAAGTTCACTGTTAGAATAAGATCTGAGTTCACATTGTCATAGCCATCATTGAGGGCACCAACAGATGGGCTAGTCAAAAACCGCTTTGGATTCAGTTCTTCTGAATATTTAAATTGTGAGTTGCATATTTGGTACGTTTCAATTATGTCCTTTGTCAGTCTTGCCACCAACTGCACAGTTAAAGCTGCATGTCAGCACAAAGATTTGCCTTATATGAGCCCATGCACCCTGAAAAAGTTCTCCTTTCCCTTCTCTTTTACTTCTTCTTGGGTGTAAAAGATATATAAAATCAAATTGATAAATAACAAAAGCAATATCTATTTAGTATCAAGCAATATGCCAATGCATCTTTAGAGTGCAAAATTCAGTTATAATTATTTAGTGTTTAATCTTATTGTTTCTCAAGCATATTCAGACATTATAACATAAATGTTGACAATAAGGCAAGAATGGAGAACATTATGCACAAGGCAAACTAGAGGTATTTCACAATAGATCATTCATTGACTAGGAGAAGATCTTTATCGGTAGGGGTGGTGTCAAGACAGAAGTTAACAGCCAGCCCAACATGCAAGTGACAAACAAGCAAGTATCCATGCCCCATTAAGACTAGTATTGTTCATGGAGTCTCTGCTCCGTGGTTTAGCTTTCTCATCAACGTCATAGATCGGTTATCGATATGAGTTGTATTAGCTGAAGGCTAGTCAAGGTAGATAGAATGTGGGATCCAAAAACCAATTTGGTAGTCTCATTATGCTAATATCAGTATCGATACATTGAGTTCTATCAGGATCCAAGTTGACCACCTTCTCTGCTTAAGCATACAGGCCTCGCACATTATACTAACCAAAACAAGAGTAGCATTCCCCAGTCATGTCCAAAGCTTTCTATAATGTATTTGAAACTAGTGAAACATTTAAGATTTTAACCCTGCACATGGAGAAAATAAGGAACAGTCTCATTTGAACTAAACAGCCGAATATCACTAATTAAACCACAACTAAAACCAGCTCAATATCACTTAATCCATAACCATTCAAACTCAAACCCAATTCAAAAGCCCCTAAGTTTTCAACGCATCGCAACGTGCCAAAAAACTACCAGTCAAACTTTTGAACTAAACAGAAATTAGGAAAGAAAACTTACAGGCCTCCTGACAAAAACACGCAGCTTTCTATCAGCTTCTTTCCTAGTAGAAAACGGCCTAAATACCAGCTGCCTCGGCCTCCACCGCATCGCAGAGCCTTCATCGGAGCACAATTCCGAGTTCATCCGCGGCTCTCCTTGATTACTAGGACCAACTTCGTCCATGACAGAAAGAATCAACGCTTTCTAACCCCAAAATTTACTATAATCCCCAATAGCTCCATTAAAAAGGAAACCACGCAAAAACACCGTAAAGTCAATAAAACCCCCAAATTTTATCAACAATCGAATTGCAGTTTCCAATCAAAGATTGAAACTTTAGTTATTTGGCAAAGAATCCAACAGCTAACCCAAATCCCAATCTTCGTTTTTTAAAATACTTTTTTTTTATTAATTCTATCATTCAAAGTCTAAAAACAAAAGAATCAAAAAATTGGAATACCAGGCGGATCCAAAGATGGTATAAAAACAACCCAAATTTATATTAAAATAAAAAAAAACGATTGAAGTTTTTCACAGAATATAAATAAAGCCCAAACACATGCAAGAAAAAGAAAACCAAACACTTGGATTAGAGAGAAGTATTGCGATAAAAGAAAGATCAAAAGATGAAGAAAAATATAGAAACAGAGAGTTTTTGGTCTGAGGACAGAGGCACCCCGCTTCTTGCTACCCCCCGATGTGAGTTTTTTTTTCCCCCAGGTGACTGGCGTTGAAACGCTATACAGAGGCTTTTCCTTTATTTGTTTATTTATTTATTTCAGATAAATTACGTATTTAGTACTTAAACTATAAGTTTTAATCCGTTTTAATACCTAAACTTTTTTTTCAAAATCATATTTAATTTTTAGTTTTTTTCCATTTAATACCTCACTGTTAAAAATTTAATACGCTTAATACTTAAACTATCAGTTTTGGTCCGTTTTATTACCTAAACTTTTGATTTTTTTCAAATTTAACGTTAAATTTTGAACATAGATACTAAAATGAAACAAAAACTAAATTTTATATATGATTGTAAAAAAGATGAAAGCTTAGGTACTAAAATATATCAAAACTAATAGTTTAGGTGCTAATTACCTAATTTAACCATTTATTTTATAGATGTTTGGCAGTAAATACAATGTATCTGTATCGATTTGTGTACCTGATTCATTTACGTTGAGGAATATATTGTTGGTTACAAGGGCCAGTTACGAGCTCTACTTAGTATCGTAAAAACACTATAAAATATAGGGTAAACTACATGGATGATAATCAAATTATTGCTCGAGTTTACTCTGACCATCAATGTTTATATTTAATTAATCAGATCACTTAACTATTTAAAATACTTCAATAAAATCATTGGCAGTTAATTTTTAAAGGGTGAGGTGACAGTTAAAAAATTTGGTATAATTGCATATTTGATCCTTGATATTTATAGATTATATCATTTTAGTCATCATTTTATTCAATTAAAATAAGTTTGATATCCAATTAAATTGTGCCACGTGTCACTACTTGATTAGGAAATATTTTTTATTTTTATTTATTTACTCTAATATTTTTTCTATACAATAAGGTGGTGACACGTGTCACCACCAAATTAAAGAGAGAAAATACCAAAGGAAAAAAAGGGCTTCCCAAATACCCATGGAGAATCAAACCTGGGACAACCTTAAAGGAAACCAGCACCTAAACCACTAGGCTACACCTTCATGTTGGTTTCATCTTACAATATTTTTTATATAACGTGTACCATTTAATGAGAAAAAATAAAATAAAAATGCTAACTAAGGGATTTGAACCAAAGATTGCAAACATAGATGAAACTACAATAACCACTAAGACAAATCAAAAACTTAAACAAAGTTTTTATATGTTTTATATATTTGTATTTTTTTGTTAATTTAATACTATATATAATTATAATTTAATATTTCTTAAGAATTATTTTTCTATTAAACATTAAGAATTGTCATTTCTATCAAATTATATTATTTCATTAAATTATTATAATTTAATATTAAATATTTTTAATTATAATTTAATATTTATTAGTAATTATTTTTATTAAATTATATTGATGATTTATATATTATTATTTGATATTATTATATTAAATATAATTTATATATGTTAAATTAACAAAAACTAAAAATGTATAAAACAAACTAAAAGGGTTCTTTTATTCTTTTGATTTGCCTTGGTGGTTATGGTTGTGTCATCCATAATTGTTATTCTAGGTTCAAATCCCTCAATTAGCATTTTTATTTTTTTTTTTCTGGCATTAACATGAAGGATTAGCCTATTGGTTTAGGTGTTAGCTGATTCAAAAGTTGTCCCAGGTTCAATTCTCCATATGGGCGTTGGAGGTTTTTTCCTTTGTATTTTCTCTCTTTAATATGGTGCTGACACGTGTTCTACTTTATTGGATAGAAAAGTTATTAGAGTATATAGGGATTGTCTCAGAAAAGACGGGTTAATATACGGCTAATATACGGCATTACCGGATACATTAAAATGTATTTAATAAATTCGGTTTAGCGGTACCTATTATGTTGACAACTAATAATGTTTTAGGTAGAAAATATGAAAAACTATTAAAAAATTTAGTAACCGGTAAACTTTGGTTATCGGTAAGTATCTATTCTTTTTATAAAAGTGTCCATACTTTTAACATATCAAGTAAATTTTACCGGTTTTGTCATAATGAAACTGGTTTTGTCATATTTTTATCTGTTATATTGTAAAGTATCTATCCTTTTTATAAAAGTGTCCATACTTATTTCACTGTGAAAATATATTTATTATTATCTTTGGTTAATATTGTTAAATTTAAATTCTAAATAATATTTTATAAAATATCAAAACAATTAAATAATTTTTTGTGTAAATAAAATTATTAAATTAATATTGTAGGTGGAAAACATGAAACACTATTAAAAAAAATTGAAACATAAATTACATAACTTTAAAAAAAGTATATATCATTTTTATAAAAGTGTCCATACTTATTTCACTGTGGAAAATATATTTATTATTATATTTGGTTAATATTATTAAATTTAAATTCTAAATAATATTTTATAAAATATCAAAACAATCAAATAATTCTTTATGTAAATTAAATTATTAAATTAATATTGTAGGTGGAAAACATGAAACACTATTAAAGAAAATTGAAACATAAATTACATAACTTTAAAAAAAGTATATATCATTTTTATAAAAGTGTCCATACTTATAAAAATAGGTCTAAGTCATGAAGAAATATTAAAAAATTGTGCTACCGGTTCGTGTCGATCCAAATTAAAAATGTGTCGATCCAAAATGATATAACAGGTAAAACTATGACAAAACCGGTATAGAAATGATAAAATCGGTAAAGCGCTACTGGATACATTTCAAGTGTCGGTACTTTAATATAAGGATCGACACTTCGTGAATTTAAAAGAGAAGCAGTTTTAAATCCTATAAAGTGTCGATACTTTTAAAAAATGTATCGATCCAAAACGATATACCAGGTAAAAATATGATAAAACCGGTAACAAAATGATAAAACCGGTAAAACGTTACAGGATATATTAAAAGTGTCGATACTTTATATAAGGATCGACACTTTGTGAATTTAAAAGAGAAGCAGTTTTAGCGCCTATAATGTGTCGATACTTTAAAAAAATATATCGATCCACAACGATATAACAGGTAAAAATATGATAAAACCGGTATCAAAATGATAAAACCGGTAAAATGATACCGGATATATTGAAAGTGTCGATACTTTCGAAAGTACGTGTAATAAATTATCGACACTTTCAAAGAAATAGGTAATTATCCTTTCGAAAGTATCGACACCTGACATAAAAGTATCGACACTTTTGTATTTGTATCGATTAAATATAAATAACATATCCGATGAAAATATAAGCTAAATATCCTCTGAAAATAGATAGAACGGACGAGTTTTTGAAATCGAAGCGTAATTGTTGCTGCATTTCAGAAGGTGTTTCTAAAGCGAAGTTTGTTTGTTGCTGTAGTCGAATCGAAAAGTATGTTGTCGAAACCCTAATTTTTTATTATTACAGTAATCGCGATAGGGTTTTTATGTGTTGTTTGGGGTTTTGGAGTAAAGAAGCATTTGGGACCGATTGCAAGTAGAAAGTGATATTCAAGGAAAAATATAAATGTTGATATTTTTATTAAATATTATAGGTAGAAAATGATATTATAGGTTGTATAAATGTGCCGACACATTTTGGTGTGGCCATTCAAATTCTTTTGAAGAAAATCGTTTTACCACAAGAGTAATTATCTATATTTGTATATTGAATAAAGTGTATGTAACAAAATAATTTGATTTGCGTAAACTGATATATGAAGGAAAAATGGAGTCAATGGGTTGGAAAATTGTTGGTGGAGCAAATGACTTTGAAATTGAGACCGAGACTCGAAAGCAACCAAAGGGTGGATATATGTACTTCTAGTAAGTATCAATGTCTTTTTGTTATTATTGTTGAAATGGTAATTGGATTAAAGTATCGATAAACTTTAAATTGATTACAAATTTTAAATGTTGACAGTATGGCCGAATGCAAAAGGATGAAGGAAGATGGCACACAGAGCGGTTCGGTATGTAAAATGAAATTGACATTGAGTAGTATTTAGTGTTAATGTATTGATTAAGAAACGTTTATGTTTTATATTAGGTGACAAAAGATGTGAGGTCCAAATGGAATTCAATGAGTGATGCTGAAAAGGAACCTTACATCACACAGTCAAGGAATGATAGTAAAGAATACAAAGAACGGAGGAAAGCACATGAAAATAAGGTATTCATTAAACTTGTAAATACGTTGATACAAAATATATAAGAACTATAACATTATATATTGTTAAAAAATGTAGGAAGTGTCGACAAGATGCAACATTAAAAGGGTGAATTTATTAATTAAACACCTTAAGGAGAAGGGTCAGTTGAATGTGTTGGGAGAAATAGGTTTTGGATCGTTGGTAGGAGTAAGGGATCGACCTATTCGGAGGGAATTGTGTCGATCCTTGATGGCGCAATTTGATGTCAGACAATGTATTGCTAAATATGGTGATTTTTCATTTCCTCTCGGGATCCCATGTGCTGCAGCAGTATTGGGGCTAGAAAATGAAGGCAAAAGTGTTGTAGAAGTCTGTAAGAGTAAGGATTGGAAAGCACTTGCCTCCAAATGGTTTGAAGCATAAGGTGACATATGCTGAAATTGAAGAGGAAATAAAAAGTGGATCTTACGTTGGGGATGAGCTGAAGGCCAGAGTTCTATTATACCTTGTCGGTATCTTTCTTTGTCCAACGGGTAATACGTCAACGAACAAAGAACATATGAAGCTCATTTGTGATGAAGGCTTGA